TTCAAGGTCAAATATCCGAATTTTGCCTTTTCTTGCTATTATTGGCTATAACTTTGTTATTTTTGAATGGATTGTCTTCAAACTTGAACATAATAATCTTCAAGGATAGCCTTTTAAAATAACGAGACTTTGAAGGTCAAATGATTGAAATTTTCATTTTTTTGCTGTAACTGGCTGTAACTTTGCTATTATTGAATGGATTGACTTCATATTACAAAAGAACATTCTTAAGGACACGACCTTTATGTTAATCAAACTCAAAGTAACCTTGGCTCCTTTATGACCTTGACCTTGAAGGTTAAATTATTGAATTTTCACTGATTTGTGCATTAAATGAACATATATATTTATTGGTGTGTAAAAATGCGTATATTTATAAATATATACTAGCAATTCTATTCAAATAAAAAATACAAACATTCATTTCGCTTCCTTTTCAATGATATCATTCACCCATTATATTTGTTCACTAAGAAAAAATTTAAAAAGTCGAGCGTTGCCCCCACCCCTCAGTGGCTCTTGTTCAACTTAAGAACACTTTTCTATTTCATTTTATTCACTTATAATTATAGAGATACTGCTACATTTCAATTATGAGCTTCAGAACTCCTATTTTGTAAGAGTTGTAGCCCTTTTTTAATCTTGTTTCTGCGGGGGCATGTGTGTCCCATGAACACATATTATTAGCGTTTCTTCATACCATTACCTTTACATTTTTGTATCATTGAATGAATAACTTAAGTTTATTTTTGGTAGGTGAAGATTTGTATTAAACGGTGGTATTGATGGATTTTCAAGACTACCAACTTATCTTATGGCTGCATCAAACAATACTGCAGCAACAGCACTTAGTGCTTTTCAGCTGGGTGTTAGAGAGTATGGATTACCTGAACGTGTTAGGTCAGACAAAGGAAAAGAAAACATTGGAATTGCGGAATTTATGTTGCAAAGTGGCGGTCTTCAGACCAACTGTCATATTAACGTTCGCAGCGTGCACAATCAAAGGTATGTATCTTTTGCTAAAAACTACAGCTAAACCAAGCTTGGTCGAATGCAAGATTGGTAAAAGATCTAGATTCCCTTTACATACCATCTTGCTTAGATCTTTTTACCTATACTAACACCTTTGAATTGAAGAACCATCTAGACACAGCAGTCTTGTGAATGCAATGTGACTTAAACAAAAGATGTGTATCAGTTTTAAGATCATTATACAAATAATGAATCAAACGGATTAGAAAATGCATTGCAGTGTCACTTGCCATTAAATAGTAAAAATTAAATACTTGATTTTGTTTCCTTCAGAACTTCAGTTACATAACATAAAGCAGTTTCAAGCTGTGAGCACCATAGTAACTGCCTCTGTCTCTTGAAATTGCAGGCTACAGTGTTGTTTTGGTGTTTGGGTAATAGATCCATTTACAAAAAGGTAAACAGAAGGGTCATTAGTGCTCACCTGAGAACTTGCCTATAAAGGTGGGATGTTTAGGGATATGGCAGGGATAGTGATTCCTAAATAAGCTTTGTAGAAAAGTGATCCCTGGGATTGTACCAAAATTAATCCTGGGGTCATGATTTGAACAAACTCAGTAGATATTCACTAGGTAATGCTTCATGAAAAATATTCAATCTGAAAGCCTTGTATTCCTGGAGAAGAAGATTTTTCATGTTTTTCTTATATAATTCTATGTAAAAATGATTATCCTCTTGGTTGTGTTAATTTGCCCCTGGTGTCATGATTTGAACAAACTTGGTTGAGGTTCACTTAGTATTGCTATATGCAAAATATCTAAGCTTTAGGACTTGTAGCTCTGGAGAAGAATATTTTTAAGATTTTTTCTTTCGGTTGCTATGGCAACCAAAATTCTGAATGGAATGAAATTCTTTAAACAACTTTGGTAGAGCTTCACCAAAATTATATTCGTGTGAAGTCTGGTTGAAATTGGCCCAGCGGTTTATGAGGAGATGTTCGGAGAAATTGTTTACGGACGGCGGACAGATTGTGATGACAAAAGGTCACTTTGTCATAAAGTGACAGGTGAGCTTAAAAAAGATGAATGCTTGTTTCACATATGTCAGAATATTTCTGAAATGTGGATCCATTGTGGGCATTGCCAATCTTTGGTCTCTTCTTATATCTTCATGAAACTTGGTTGGATTGTTTATTCCTGTCAGATATCTTTGTTCATTACAGAATAGAGCAATTTTGGAGAGAGGTTTGGCATGGTTGCACATGAGCTTATCACCAATTATTCTGTGAAATGGAGCGAACTGGTATTCTTGATGCTGACAGTGAACTAGATATATATTTATTACATGCGAAATATCTAGAAAGAATTCAGAAATCCCTAGACAAATTTATAAAGGCAGTTGCTCGAAGACCATTTGGAACAGAAGGAAATACAACCCCATTGCAGTTATGGATTATGGAGCAGACTTATGAGCAAAGAACTGATTTGTCTGAGGAGGTATCAGAGAAATTTTACTTCATTTTTTGTGGTCATTACTCAGCAGTTGACTGTTTAACAAAAATATGGTCAAAGGTCAATCAGACCAATCATTTCATGTAGCAAGTTAGCCCTGTTGATCTCTGCCATTTTCTCAGACAACACTAGCCCTTTACATTTTCTGATTGTTTAAACACAAATCCATGTCACTACAAATGCAGCAAAATACATTTAATTACAAAAAATCAGAATATTTTTGAAACATAGGAAAGGTCAATGGAAAAATAAAAGATATTTTCTACAGGTATTATTTATTGAAGACACTCCGTGGCGATAAAGATCTGGCAAGTTTCCTATGGAAATAATTTACAGTTTAAGATATTATTTAGATAGATATCAGCCTTAAGTACAATAATTAAATGTCTTGCTTAATAACACATTTATGGCCATAATAGTGTTTTTTAAAGCAGATTTCATGCTAAAACTATTTTTGTATGTGGTCTTTCATTTCATATAAATGAATGATTTTCTTCTTTTTGCCATTTTGACCAAATGTAGGGTCTGTCTGAAAAAATACACATATATGGAAGTACTTGGCTTTAGGAGAGTGTTATATGAAAGGTCAAAAATCCTGAAAGGTCATTGCTGCTTGCATCCAATATGGTACAAGCACTTACTCAATTGATGATCATGATCACTAAGATTCAAGTAACTTGAATGTGGTGGAATGCCCCAAAGGCAAGACTTATCCAGGATTTGTAGTGGTAGATTCTTTAAGGAAAAATAGAAACAAGAGGGCCAAGATGGCCCTATATTGCTCACCTTGGTACAAGTCCACTTGCCTGGTGTACGATCACTAGATAATGTTATATACCAAAAAGGTTTTCCTATATATGTATATGTGTTTGTAAAACAAGTGACCCTCCCCCGTTTTGACAAAAAGGCATAATTTGAACAAACTTTGAAGAGATTTGCTAGGCATTGTTACATGCCAAATATCTAAGCTCTAGGCATTGTGGTTTCAGAGAAGAAAATTTTTAAAGTTTTTTCCTATTTGTTGTCATAGCAACCAGAGTTCTGCATAGAATCGAATTCTTTGAACAATTTAAGTAGAGCTTCACGCATGGAACATTCCTGCATAGTTTTATTAAAATTGGCCTAGTGGTTTCAGAGGAGATGTCATTTGAATCAAAATATTGACAGACTACTCAATCTGAAAAGCTTACCCTGTAAAAATACAGTGTTTTGAATATCAGCTTTTAGAATAAAGCTCAATTATTTTGCAAACAACAGTAGCAACTCATAAACAGTTGGAATATATATATGTATTGTTTGTATGCCCCAAAACTTAGGAGGGGCGTCCGTGGCCGAATGGTTAAGGTCGTTGACTTCAAACCACTTGCCCCTCACCGCTGTGGGTTCGAATCCCGACAGAGACTTTGGATTCTTTCATGTGAGGAAGCTATCCAGCTAGCTTACGGAACGTAGGTGGTTATTCTCAGGTACCCGTTCGTGCCTGAAATAATGCACGGAAGGGCACCTGAGGTCTTCTTGTACCAGTAAAGCTGGAACGTCGCGATATGACCTATACTGTGTCGATGTGACGTAAAACCCAAAAACAAAAAAACAAACAAACAAACTTGGGAATTTTTAAAAATCGCACCATCCGGTGTGCATCTATCCTTTAATTTGTTTATGTCCATGTTGTTAATGTGTCATGCATTGAAGGACTTTAAACGACTTTTGCACATCAAGACAATGAGTTTGGTCCAACACCCATGTCCCTTCCCCAAAGGTCAGGGTCAAACCATTGGTTTCATAATAATGGTAGGATGTATAAATGTATATGCACATATTGTGTCTGTTGTGTATTTTTGTCAATGAATTAAGTTCTTGTAAGTTGCTTGTATAATTTTTGGGAAATATATATACCTAATCGGGTGCATTTGTCACTTACAATGACAGCTCTTGGTTTTAAATGAAAGCAAATGTTGTTTATGCCATTAAGATGGCGTCTATTTTTGTAGAAAAACAGAGAAAATGTACTGTTAGCATATCACAAGATAGACAAAATTTTTAAAGAGACTAGTTATCATGTATAACTATTTTAGAGTTGTTTCCAAACCTGAACAAGAGAATTAATTAAACTCACATTATTTCCCTTTCAGGATGCAGTCATGTATGGAGTAGACTTAAATGGACCTGTGGACATGTTTCAAGAAGCAGATATTTTCCCTAGAGTTTTTCTAAAAAACAAACCATATAGGTACTAAAGATTATGCTTGTCAATATGAACAGTAACTTCTACACAAATTATACACATGGAAAACTGACCATGCTGCACATTGCAGTGTTATTACTTAATTACCTTGAATGGAAGTTTCTCAAACATTTACAATGTAAAAGTCTGTAATTTTTGTCGTAAACTATAGAAGACAATTACTCAATCCCAAAACCAATTGATCCCATCAGTAACATATGCTGCTGGAATTCCTCATGCACTTGCAACTGATCAATTCTTCTGAATGTTATTGATGGAGCACAAGTGTTGACCTAAGAGATTGCATCCATTTCATAATCAAATTCGATAATCCCCGAGTTGATGTCCGTAGGCAGAGCCTCATATCCTAGGAATGCCTGAAGTATGTGTTCTAAAGTGAGAACAGTATCACTTTCAGTCCAATAATCTTGGTTGACACAAACTGTTGAAATGCATCCCCCTGCAAAATATGTCAAATATGTCGGAGAAGTTATAAATAAATATAAAATTACAATCCCAATTGTTTGGAAATTTAATGACAATAACCCCATTATTTTATTTTCAATAATCGGCATTATTTAGCTTTTCAGTACAGTCAAAATGGAGCCTTTTGAACACTGAGACTTAAATTGCATTAAGTAGTAGTCACAGACATAAAAATCAGCCAAAAACTGTTCTGATCCCAACAAACATATAATTGGCAAATGGCAGATCCATTGCATCAGTGAAGCAATCTTGAAGTGTCTCATTCCCCTTTCTCAACAACATCTTCCAATTTTAATGCAATGTGTGTAGCAACATTTAAATCTGCTATGCCTAGAAGGGGAGCAGTGTTGTAGAGGTTTAAGTGTCTGCCGTTCATCACAGAGGTTGCGGGATTGAGCCCCACCAAAGTCACAACCGTACCTCCTAATATGACACTAGTACTGGTTTTTCTAGGAAGCCAACTTGAGAGTCTCTCGATAAGCTAAGAGCTTTCTTCACAACCGAGCTAAAATAAATTAGTATAAACTTAACTGAAATCATGAAAGTTAAGGAAATGTTTTCTGTATATATTACCAATGTGATGTAGCAATAAAAGTCTTTCACAAATCTTGCGACTGATAACAACTGTCAATGCAATAACATTAAGAAAAAAACCGCTGCCCTTGGAAAAACTACTTCTGTCTGATTTGTAACCAGGGTAAATGGAAGACTTAAATATAGACATTAAAATACCAGCAAGTGGATGCTTTACTAATTAAATACTAAGTATCGCTTACTTTCAGTTTTCTTCAAGAATTTCCAAAAATTGAAAACAACCATGGTTTCCTTTGCTTTCTTTTCTTCATCAGCCGAGTATGAAAGCTTGTAAAATGTTAAGATTGTTGCGCCATCACAATTACTTTGCTGGAAAAAGCTTAAACTATCTGGAAAATATTTTTGCAGAATTTTCAGTACCCCATGGATCTACATTCCTAAAAGAAAAAAAAAAGACTGGTTATTGTAAGAGATTCATGTCGCAAATTTCAACTGAAATGGCTTAATCAAGGAGAAATTAAGTTGAAAAAGGACCATAACTCTTACAACTTATTAATTACTCTTACAAATTACATTCTTAAAATGATGCTGTATCTTGATTAAATTAGCAAACACAAAATGAATAAAAACCTAAGCTATCAGAAATTAAGTTGAAAAAAGGCCACAACTCTTACAACATTGGAGATGTTATTTTTTTTTTTTCGAAATGATGTATCTTTATTTGATGTGTATGTATAAAATTTTTTAATGAAATCCCTCTAAGAGTCCTCTTCTAAATGAGCAAAAGTCTTATTTGTAAATGAAATCATATCCAAAAAGGGTCATTACTCCTAACAAATGATGTCGTACCCATTTTCGAAAGGATGCTGCATCTGTACAGGGTATACAAAAATCGGGTTTTGACCCGGGTTTTGCCTCAGGGAATACAGTTAAGTTGACCAAACCAAGGTTGATAGGCCATTTTATTAATTCTATACGGAAAAGCAAACCGTTCTAGTCTCAGGAAATGAAGAAAAACTAAGCAATCTCACCATCATAGGCCTTTCTAGTAATTGGTAACGAAATGTCAAGCAAAATTCTATCTTCAGGGAATACAGTTAAGCTGTTAAAACCCATGGTGATAGGCCTTTTTTGTAGGTCTTTACGGACAATCAATCCTGGTTCTAGCCTCAGGGAATACAGTCAAGGCTACCAAACTCACGGTAACATGCCTTTTATGAAGTTCTCTACGAGAAGCTTAGCCCGTTTTTAAATTCAAGGAATACGTTCAAGCTGACGAACACGACAGTGATATGCCATTCTGTTTATTTTTTTATTGTGTTTTATGTCACACCGACACAGCATAGGTCATTTGGCGACGTTCCAGCTTTACTGGTGGAGGAAGGCCTCAGTTGCCTTTCCGTGAATTATTTCAGTCACAAACGGGCACGTGAGTAGAACCACCGACGTTCCATAAGCTAGCTGAATAGTTTCCTCAAATAAAAAAATCCAAAGTCCCTGTCGGGACTCAAACCCACAGCGGTGAGAGGCAAGTTGATTGAACTCAAATACCTTAACCACTCAGCTATGAACTTCCCCATTAGCTATTCTAGTAGTTCTTAACCGAAAACAAAGCGTGGTTCTAGCCTCATTGAATACAGTCAAGCTGACCAAATTCAGTGATAGGCCTTTTAAGTAGTTCCTAAAGGAAATCTTAACCCGGTTCTTGCCTTCTAGGATACAGTCAAGCTAACAAAACTATACGATGAAAGGCCAAAATAGTACATTTAAGTTCTTAACGAAAAGCCAAGCATAGTTCTAGCTCTAGGTAATACAGTCAATCTGACCAAACGCATGGGTATTGGTTTTTCTAGTAGTTCTAAACGAAAAGCCAATCCCGGTTCTAGCGTCTAGGAATACAGTCAAGCTGACCAAACCCACGTTGATAGGCCTTTTTGTAGTTTGTAACGAATAGCTTAGCCCAGTTCTAGGCTCACCAAACCCAAAGTGATATGCCTATTCATTAGTTATTAATGCAAAACCAAGTCGGTTCTACATTCAGTGAATACTGTCAAGCTAACCGAACCCACGGTGATAAGTCTTTCTTTTAGTTCTTAACGAAATGCCAAGTCCGGTTCTAGCTTTATGAAATACAAGCAAGCAGACCAAACACCCGGTGGTAGGCCTTACTAGTAGTTCTGAACGAAACGCCAAGCCCAGATCTATACTTAGGGAATACGGTCAAGCTAACAACCCTAGGTGATAGAATTTTTTTAATGATTTACGTAAAATCAAGCCCGGTTCTTGCCTACGATGATTAGCCTTTTCACTACGTTTTAACAGAAAACAAATTCCTTTCTAGCCTCAGAGAATATAGTCAAGCTAACCAAATCCATGATGATTGGCCTTTTTAGCAGTACTTAACGGTAAATCAATACTGGTTCTAGCCTCCGGAAAAAAACTCAAGCTGATCAAACCCTCGGTGATAGGCCTTTTATTAGTTCTTAACGAAAAGCCAAACCCGGATCTAGCCTCCGGAATGTCAGTCAAGCTGACCGTACCCACGGTGACAGGCCTTTCAGTAGTTTTAAACGGAAAAGTAAACCCAGTTGTAGCCTCAGGGAACACATTTAAAGGGAAAGACAAGGTTAGAATAAAAACTTGATTTCAGAAAAAGAATACTATAAATAATAAATCTGCAAATTTTCTGCCGCCAAATAATAATATTAAACGAATGATAACAAAATTTAAATCGTTAAATCACCGATTTCTACAAATCAGTAAGCGGGGCCATGTTTGTGTATTGGCCGTATAAAAACAGGTGCGCGTGATGTCATTTCCCCACATCTTTAGATTCATGATAAATCTCGTTGAATCGTAAGGAAATATTAATATAATAAAGTATTGACCAGACAATTTAATTTTCACAGGAGGTGTAGAGGAGTTTTTTTATGGTTCAAAATACGTAACAATATCAAAAAAATAATAAAAAATAAAGAAACGTACGGCTAGCCACAAGGTCTAGCCGTACGTGAGTCACGAACGACTAGCCAGGACGCACTGTATTGTCTAGCCGTACGGCCCTTTTCAAAATTATATGGAAGTCGAACGTTATAAAATTGTTGATTTGCATATGCTTATCATTTGTTGTTTTATTTGTATGAATTATTAAATCATTTTTGTTAATTTTAAGCACATGGATCGAATAAAAAATGATTGATTGGAGTGGAATAAATAAATAAAAAGAACATTGAATGAATAAAAAACGGTGAAATGCAAAAATAATTATATAATTTTCAAAACAGTAGATAAATATCGAACATAAAAGCACAGTCAATCAATTAATTAGCCTTAATTAAAACCTATCCAGGGACTGACAATAGAATTTTAGAATGCCTTTCACGGAACATGCAAACTTTCCTTGATGGACAAACTTCTATACAGTACCGTCGGTAATTGTCGCAATTCATTTTTATTGGCTGCTCAAAAATCTAATTTGCATAATTTATTCACACAATAGCTGGTTCTTACTACTTATGTCTAATACTGCGCATTGTCCATTTTAATTGTTCCTAATTTGCACCAAATGTTCCTGTCACACAGTGTACTGGCGATTTTTATTGCTCCTTGTATGCCTCTGTGCCGACATGCAAAATGTTGCACTGATTGGTTAATCACCCTTGTCAAATATTCTAATGACGAAATAGACATCTATTTTTTTACGCTTCATCAGTGAACTGAATGACCTTAGGGGGAATTAGGTTCCACACCTGTCAAATTATACTGTAGTAAATTACAGCACGTCATAAAATAGCAACACATTTTTTTCAGTTACCAATAATCATTTTAAATATTAAGTAGATTTATGATTTTTTGTTTTATTGGATTAAATTTACGGTAGTAGAAATGCGTATCTGTCGGGGAAAGGAATTTGGTAAGTAGATTACGTGAAAAAAAGCTTTAGGGAACTGGATAAACCCGAGAATATGCGTAATTATAGTGGAATGGGCAACCTGTTGCTGTTGGTACCAGTTTTGACTGGGTGCCTAAATAACCTAACGGACAGTTTTGTTTTCATACGATATTAGTCTGGCTGTCGATTTTCCTGCGCCATTCTCATTTTAGCGTCAATGGCGGAAAATCGCGTCCTCAGCAGATTGGATTTAGTTGATATTTTACCGGAAAAAAGATACATGACCGGCGATGTACCCTATTTGCCTATTTGGACAGCTCGTCTAGCGAAAATTAGTACAATATAAAAGGATAAATCGTCAATTTGAAGAAGTTTCTCATAGTAACAAAATTAAATTTATGGTTTATCTTTGAAAATTAAGCAGTCATTGCTTAAATCATGTGGTGGGATCATCAGCAAGCTTGAATATCGGACAAATGATAATGAATGTCGCGGCGTCTTCAATGAATTAATTAAAGCAATTCAGTTCCATATGATGTTTTCATGAATAATATATAATGTACACAATAAAATTAGTAAGTTCTTCATCAAGTACCAGCGTGTACACCTATACCGGAAGTGGGTGTAACACGTCACAATCTCGGTCTCGTCTGTCTCGCGAGAATGACAGAACGCCAAAATGGCGGCGCCCATGAACTTATTTCTCAAGTAAATAATAGTGTCTTAAAACACAAATTTCTCTCTTATAGGGTTGATGTCAATAGGAAAACTGTCATGGTTCCTCTTTTTAAATGATGAATATTTATATTAGACAGACATCAACCCATCCATTCATATTCCTTTAAGCTGGTCAAACGCATGGTGATTAGCTTTTCTGGTAGTTTGTAATGACTAGACAATCATGCCTTAAGCCTCATGGAATACAGTCAAGCTAACCAAACCAACGCTGATAAGCCTTTGCAGTTGTTATTAACCTTAACGGAAAACATAGCACGTTTCTAGCCTGGGGGAATACAGTCAAGCTGACCCAACCCAAGGTCATATGACTTTTCATAAGTTCGTAACGGAAAACCAAGCCCTGTTCGAGCCACAGGGAATACAGTCGAGCTGACCAAACTTCCGGTGATAGGACGTTCTAGTTATTCTTAACGAAAGATCAAGTCCGGTTCTAGGGTTAGGAAATACATCGATGCTTACGAAACCCAAAAGTATGCAATTTAAGTAGTTCTTAACCGAAAATAAAAACCGCATCTAGCCTCTATGAATACAGGACTACAATCAAGCTGACAAAACGAATGATCATAGAATATGAAAAACAAGATCAACAAGGAAAGGCGGCGTTCAATGAACGCATAGGCCTTTTCTGTAGTTATCAACCGAAAAGCAAGCCCGGTTCAACCCACAGGGAATACAGTCAGGCTGACCAAACCCTAGGTGAAAGGCATTATTCGTAATTGTTAAAGGAAAACTACAAGTCATATTCTAGCCTCTGGGAGTACAGTCGAGCTCACTAAACACACAGTGATGAGGCCTTTCTAATAGTTCGTAATGATAAGCCAAGCTCGGTTCTAAGCTCAAGGAATACAATCAAGCTGACTTAACCCACTGAAATAGACTTTTCTTGTAGAACTTAACGAAAATCAAGGCCCAGTTCTAGCTTCAGAGAATACAGACAAGCTGACCCAACGCACGGTGGTAGGCCTTTCTAGTTGTTCTTAACGAAATTCAAGCCCGGCTCTTGCGTAAGAGAATACACTCAAGCTGAGCAAACACTTTGTGACAGGCCTTTTTAGTAGTCTTAAATGGGAGACCAAGCCCGGTCCTAGCCACAGGGAATACAATGAAGCTGATCAAACCCATAGTGATATGCCTTTTTTGTTTTTCTTAAAAGAAAGCCAAGAACAGTTCTAGCCTCTGTAAATACAGTCCAGCTGACACAACCAACGTCAATTTGCCGTTCTAGTAAGGTGATAAGCCTTTTTAGTATTTCTTAACGAACAGCCAAGACCGCTTCTAACTTCATGGAGTACAGTAAAGCTGACAAAACACACGGTAAAATGCTTTTTAGTATATATTACCTAAAAACCAATCCCGAGTCAAGACTCAGTGGATAAAATCAAGCTTGAAAACCCTTGGTGATAGGCTAGTTCTACTTACCAACAATACAGTTAAACTGACCCAACATACGATAAAATTCTAGTAATTCTCAACGAAATACCAATCCCAATTTTGGCCAGAGGGAATCCAGTCAAGCTTACAAAACCTACTGTGATAGGCCTTTTCATTAGTTCTTGACAGAAAACAAAGCCTGGTTCTAGCCAGAGAGAATACAGTCAAGCTGACGAAACCAACGGTGAAAGGCCTTTTCAGTAGTTCTTAACGGAAAACATAGTCCGGGTCAAGCCTCAGGGAAAACAGATTAACCAACTGGGAAAGGCATTTTAGTAATTCTTAACGGAAAATCTTGCTCAGGGAATACAGCCAAGCTGTCCAAATCCACGGTGATAGGCCCTTTTGGTAGTTCGTAACGAAACGCCAAGCCCGGTTAAAGCCTGACTTACGCTATGCCGTAGTTTCGCTTTTTACGCTTTTAAATAAAGATGAATGTTTTGCTAACAATTCGAATATATATATCATTACTATTATAAGATTTCTGAAACAGACAATAATAACGTACGTCAAAATAGTTCGTCAGAGCTATATAACTAACCTTGTTTGTGATATACTGTGGGTGATGTGGACTATCACACGGATAATATGAGGTTATTATAAATTGCTGAGTTCAATACGGAATTCTATTAAACGAGTGCACATCTGTTAAACCTATACAAGACGAGACTCGGCCGAGTCTGATATAATGCAGCTGTGTTTTAGTCCAATCATATCAGCATTGTTTACACAGTCACGTTTTAAATGATCTCCTTATTTCACAATTTTCTACCTTGTGACAGAACATTATTACTTCAAGCACAATCAGGAATTGATATTTATTTTGTTCTTGAAAATGGAAATGAGACTTCATAGGATGTGCTATGCATTTGGTAAGGATGTTTTGAACTTTGAAAATGAAAACTAGATTATATGGGACGTGATATGCATTTCATATTAAAGAAATGGAATCGAAAACATCACATTGTTCAAACACTTAAAGTCAACTGGGTATATTTTGTAAAGTGTGAAATTAATAGAGGATACTGAATGATAATCGCAAGGTTTTGAACTTTTTGTTTGTTCTTTCTAACCTATTATATTTACTACACTTTCAGTAAGGAGTTGAAAACTGTGTTGATATATACCAGTTATGTTGTTTTATTTCCTTGATGCATATAGGAAAAAAACCCGCAACTGATATACAGTAGAGCATTGTTTTGCACCTGCTATATATCGGTTTAACGTTTTTACGGAGATCAAATGGAACAGGGGTAATAGCAAAGACATTGATAAATGGGAAGACATTTATTCTCACAACTATGCCATACTCGGATCCTACATATTACCGGACAAAATGTTTTTTTGCTGTAACTTTTATTTGAAATAATAAAAAAAATGGAATTTTATTTAAATAATTTTGGGTTCTTAATGCACGTAAACATTACTTTAATAAACATGAAATTAAACATTTGACCGTAGAAATGTGTCTTTAAAGTAGGGCATCATAAGAGAGAAAAAATCATGTAGACAACTCAATTTACCGGACATTGTGTTTCAATTTTTTTCTTTGAAGTCTTGAATTGAAATTAATCTTTGAATAATGAGCAAGGAAACTACGACTATTAAATGGCAAGGTTATGATTTTGGAGAAAAAAACCAGTATGTCAATATAAATAGACATGGCATCCATGCTTGTTACGAAGAGGCCACTATATGGGGTGTAATTAAAATTAACACTATTAACTCAATTAACGTATTGATTCTTCGTATGAAACATTTTGATATTCAAATAGAATTCTGTTCTTTGTTATACAGTTTCCTTTTGGTCATCATGTAGCCTGTAACAAGAGCCATAAAATCGATTTTGTAGTTTCCTCCCATAGGCTTAACCCGTTGTCTTATATGTTTTTTAATTTGCATTTCTTTGTCAAAACCACAAAATACTATTTGAACTAAATTTAAAATTACTTCTTATCATTAAAATATGTTACGATTGTCTCCTGGGATAACGTTCAGAGAAATTAAAAGTAAAACCTATCTTAAATAACCCATTAATGGCCAAAATATTGGGTCATGCGCAGAACAGATTATTTCCCCGCATGACCAGGTGATGAAATAACTAGTAAACAAAAGGGCATGATAATAAATAAAGAAGTGAATCAACAATATTTACCTGAGAGTGATTTTGTTGTTATTCACTTTGAAATAGAAAGTGTGTGTACGATTCAGACCAGATAATTTTTTAATCGCAGCAAAAAAATAAAGCTTTAATCGCCAGGAATAACTTTTGTCCGGTAAACTGATTGTCCGGTAAATATGAAGGACCTCAGTAGGCATATTTCATATGATCTGTTAAAGTATCAAACTTTTAATTTTCCAAAAACTAAGCAAATGCACTCACTCACTGAAATTTGAAAGCAATACCGTTCATTACGTGCTGATGTTAATCAGAATGCACATGAAAGTAAAAGAAAAAGGCACAAGAGAGGGAAAATCACTAAGCATAATACGTATTTTGTAATGTTTTCTGTTAAAAATAATGAAATTGCGATAAAACATGTACAGTTATAATATATATGACACTCGGATAATATTGAATGGGGCAACATCTTAAATGTACCGGAAAAAAGTCGTCTCTGCCAAACGGGCTGGATATTTTTATTAGCAGAAACATCCGTCAATAATAATTAATTGTCCCAACAAAGGGTCAAACTTACTAAAAATTAATGTCTGATTTATGGGCCTTGGAAGGTGACTTTGTAATGTGATCCTAAAGACATGTATCAAGTTTAAAGTGAATATCTTTAGTGTTTTTTTCAGGATTAAGTTTAAAAACTCATAAACTGTTTTATTAATTTATTTTATACAGTGTAATCTGATTGGTTAATTATCTCATGCGCACGACCAAACTATCTCGTAGCCACGGCTTAGTAACTCGTAGCCACGACATAGTATCTCATGCGTACGAGATATTCAAAACGCACAAATGTCACATTTTTGCCACCGTACAATACTGCATTAAATGAACAAGTTAAATAAAATTATATTATATTATTGCAATAATTGAACAACTGTATTAAACGAGTTCAAGCCATTTAGTAATGAACCTACAAAAAGATTCTATCTATCACAAACCTAGAACCATTTAACAGTAAAAACAACATTTTCATTGACGGACCTGTAGTGTAATGTTTTTATAAAGCAAAAGCAAGGGACGTCACGTCAAATTATATATGCACGGCCATACCATACAATTTTTACAGTTAGTGTTAACAAGGATATGACTATATTTATTTTTCCTGCCCACTTATTTTAAAAGTAGGTTATAAATAAAAGTTAAATTGTTTGTATCTTTGCAATTAATCAATTTATTTTTAGAGACAAATTTCAAAAATGTGTTTTCAAATATAAATTTTTCTTGCTTATTTCAACGACTGTTGTATCGTTTCTCTAATTGCATCACAGCCGATTTTAGCCTAGAAAATCAATAACTGCTCTTGTTTTATTCCCGGTTCTTTCATCCTCTGAATCTACCGTGATTTCTGTATCACCAAATGTCATTGAAAAACTAACTCTGCGGTCTAAACTCGCGTCAGGACTTTCAAGATATATTTTAATTCTTCCTACTTTTGAACATCCATCTTCATCAACATATCTTGGGTTAGTCTTCTTCGATACGTAACAGTCAAAAAGCAGTGATCTTTAATATTTGTAAGTCGTCTTAAATTTTTTTTTGAAATACATCTCACTTGACTTAACCACTGTATTTTTCGTCACAAAGATTGAGAAGTTATCGGTACATTTTAACCCGGCATCTGTTATTATTCTTTTCTGATCTTGATGAATACCTTCTTTAAATTTTGTATATGCATTTACGCCGTATGTATACTTTAAAATTCTGCCATTAATCGTCAAAGGTGTATGGTCATACATCAAGGCACCTCGAAGTACACACGATGAAGGGTTTAATGGAACGACTATTTCTTTATTCGGAAATGCTTCTTTCAGAGCTTGCTGCAGCAATTGTGATTCTGAAAACCCAACAACCATAAGAATGATACCAACTTCCCTAATAGTTTTGTCTATAAATAAAGACTTAACATGATCAACTGTTCTTTGTAATGTTTGACCAAACATATAGAAAAAAACAACTGTTGAGAGTTTGAGTTTATCACGGACTATATCAACTAATTCAGCATACTTTGAGGCAGCAACTGCATCCTGAATCTGGATTCCACTTAGCCTTTCACATAATTCAATCATAGAAACGGGTAAACGTAAGGTGGTATACCTCGGTGATTTGATTTCGATCTCCCGTTTCTTTTCTTCAAATTGAAGTGCCATATAAAGCCAATCCTCAGTTTCTTTCATTTTGAAAGACTCGAATACTGTATCACCAAAAATTTCCGTTAAGAAATCCTCAAATGCTTTGTTTACTATAGTTCCACCCCAAGCACCGCCATTTGCTGCTCTTTCTTCTCGAAGCGTGTTAGATTCTTGTACTTCGTTAACTGTGATATAGATTGTACCACCTTTACTCATATGAATAAATAAAGATATTAAACATTTTCAACAGCTTATTAGAGCTGTATTTCTAGTTAATTATTTACAAAAGCATATGACGATTACTTTAAGAAAACTGACGATTCAAAGGTCCAGGATAAAGCTAAATATTCAAACACTAAATTGACTTAGAATGTTTTGAAAGACGCTGCTTAGAAAAAGATTGAGAAATTTGTTTTAATACACTTATAATCCTTAAAGTAACATAATGCTCTTTTTTACTGTCAAAAGGAGTCAAAATACTTACATATTTCAAAAGATTTGCTGTTATGATGGTCAATAGCCAATAAATATTTAAACTGCCTAACATATAGAAAGACTGCTCTACTTTAAAAAAACAATCTGAATGTTACCGATAAATTCAGAAGAATATAATAAAGATAGGTCAAGGGAGATACACATAATTCAGGTTTTATTTATCATAAAATTAAAATAAGCAAGACGAATGTAAAGTTATTTTTGAATTTTACCTGCACATTCGTGGTGGTAATATGTCACTTTGAATGTGTTACTATTTATCATTAAATATGTATTAAAACATTAAATACCCTCGGCGTCTAGAACCATATATTTGGTACCAATTGGAAGATTTGATATTGCTTGTTCCCTCTCATTTGTTGATGCATCTACTGGTAATTGGCGGCAATATATTGAAGCAGCTTCGGGTTCCAGAGCAATTCTAATCTGGCCACTGTCAATGTCAGCCTGTAACAAATAAAAAGAAGTAACCTGCTTATATAAACAAATATTTTGGTGTAAGAATATGACATACATGTTATTCTATATATAGTAGGGATGGCAACGAATACCAAAATCAATACTCGAGTACTCGGTCATTTTTCCGATCGAGTACTCGGTTACCCGGATGATTTCCAAATTGATCTTTATAAGTTTTATCCACACAATATCAAACACCGTCTGCCATGCTAACTTTCGTTTTCTATTTTAAAAAATTCATAGAATCGTAACTAATAAATAGGAACCTGCAAGAAAATACATATAAATATATAAAACATAAGAAATGTTCAAATGACAGCATTTATTTTATAAACCTTCAAATTGTCTCCCGAACTTGAAGCGTAAATACGCTTCAAACGAATAGGAAAAATTTCCGTATAAAGTAAGTGAACAAATACGGTACCATATATGGAAGTGTCGGTAACTATTTTTTGAAAAAACGTTTGTTCCTGAATCTTAGTGTGTATAAACATAGGCATTTGGAAAAACGGGAAACCAAAATTGTGAAAGGCGGTGGCCCGTTTTTTGCAAAAAAAATACGTATTCATGTCCGTCCGTCATAAATTTTATTTTCTTGACAGCTCATTTTCAAATTTTCTGAAATTTGTTATAGAAGTTTAGTTAATGAAAACTCAAATTTTATAATTTCAAAACGAAAAGTATATTTAATAAAAGGGAAAATTTAATTTTGTAGTAGCTTTCTGAGCCTAGCATTCTTCTACTCGCAATGTTGGTAAATTGATATTTCGCTCGACCGGTCTCGGCGAGATATTCAATTTTTTCCACCCCTGCTCGAAAGCAAAATACCAAAGCTACAACATAATATTCCGTATATATTTAACGTTTTTTAATAATTAAAAAAAGTTTCGGCTACAAACTGTCCCTAATTAAATTTAAAGGTGATTTTAAATATCATAAAAGAGACCGAAATGAACGTAAACCGACACAGGGCTGTGTAATAATCCCATTATCACGTGTCAAACTGCTGATCCCCCCCCGTTTAAAATTTTCGGGTATCATTTTTAACAACCTCTGCAAAGGGTTTTTGATTGGGATTTTACAAGTTTTTTAAAACAGATAGGGGTAACTTTTTCCCAATTTCTGAACTAATTTTCCCCCAATCGAAAAAAAATAAAAAATTAAATTTTTTTTCCCAAATAAAACGAAAATAAATTTTCCCTTTCCGATATTCGGGCGTTCGAAACGAGTATCGGTTTAAACCGGTTTCTCTTTCCCCAAAGCAGGATTTGGGCCTTTTTAAAATTTTCAAATCAAGGATAATTTCCCCTTTTTTAAATTTTATTTTTCAATGTTTTAACGTCTTTTTTCCCTCATTCGAAAATGACACTAAAGGGGTTTTTTTCTTTTTGGCGTTTTAATATTTTTTCTTTCATTTTAAAATACAAACCTTTTTCGCTTGGCCCCTCTCAAAAAACTGTTTTGAAACAAACCGACCCAAATTGCAGGAACTGTTAATAAACCCAGCTGACATCAAATGGTGTTCTAAATTCGCCCACTAGTCGCTTATTTACACTTCCCATCATATCCTCAACTAGGTATTTCAACGATATTGCAAACACGTCTATGGCCAAAAACTCCTTTCGTATCTCATCAAATATCATCATATCCCTTTTAATACCCTTGTAAAATACAACAACAAATGTTATAGTATTATGACTTTCTCTAAAGGCCTCAACAGACGGTAGGATTTTGAAGTACAACACCAATTAAAACTAAGATGTACAGACAAATCTTAATGTTGAAGGCTAAACTATTTCTTGATTTCGGAAACCTTATGTCGAGATGTAAGGGATAGGACATGTTCTGTTTTGAAAATCTTGTCGTACGGCGATTTTTACAGACCTCCCACAATGACAAGTAACAGATAAGCAAATTATCTCCTGATGAATGGATTGTAATGAATGAAATTCCAGAACAATTAGGGCTAAAAGGTAAACATAGTAGTTAAAGATGGGGTAAAAATTATGTTGAAAAACTCTTCAAGGAGACCCAAAGTCCCGTGTTGTGTTCGAATCCCAAAAATTTATTCCGAAAATGATTATGTCACGGTTATTGAGTTGTTCTCTAATAACATGACTTTGGGGAGGGGAGGTAGTTTGTAGGCGGCACATAGCTTAGTCAGTAGAGCCGCAGTACGGTATTCCGAGGGTCCCAGGTTTTGAGTCTCGGTCAGGCTTCACATTAAAAATATATATATATATATATATATATATATATATATATATATATATTATATATATATATATATATTTTTTTTTTTTAATGGAGGTGTTTTCAATCATTACTCATGGCCAAAAAAAAGTATTAAGTGAGAGTAAGTATGTAAAGATCAATGTAAAGGGATCCTTTTAGGGGAAACCTCAGAAAATTCTTACAGCATAGAATTACCGTCTGAATGCAAGTGTTGTATAGCTTTGAAAAGTGTACATCTTATCTCTAATTAGTGCTGTACAGCTAAATCCTACCGTCTGTTTGAGGCCTTAACGGGTGTTTAACATGACATCTGTAGCAATAATCTTTTTTTTTGAAACTTTTACTTTCATTTACAAATTGTAATAGGAATGTAAAAACATGTACCATACAAATACCTATGCAATTAAATGCAAAAACTATATTAGCTTAACTTTCAATAACTCATTTTATACCTTTCCAAACGGTTCAAAGAGCTTCATTTTTAAAAAGTTCTGAAGAAGAAGTATTCCGAGTGTAGATGTTGGGGCTGAAAGCTCCCATATCTTTCCTTCTGCGTCGTAGGCCAAATGAATCAAATGTTCCGTCTGGTTTCAGCAATAAACTCGTCGATGTTTTCTCTGTGGTTATCGTACCTGCATTCCAAATTTTAACGGTTGCACCTGGGGGCTTTCTTTCATTTTTATATCTAAAAGAGAATGCCCAACCCGAAAATGACGTTCCGAAATCTATTGCCCCAACTAACAGCTGGCCACCAGTTGCCTGTGTAATGATAAAATTTCATCATAAAATATGAGTTGCTAGGACAATCGGGGTTTAATGTTTAATCTGGGGACAAGGCTCTGCCAATAAATAAATACGTGTGTGCAACTTCATCAGTATAATCAAATCAAAAACATGCGCAATATCCATGCATGAATGATCCAAGTTAACTTTTTAAAACATATCATGGGTAGCAGAACATTTGAATAGATAAACTAGTACTTGAATGATACAATCGTAATATAATCGACCCGATACTTGGCAAGGTAAACAATACCCTTGATACCTGTGTATCTTCATTCAAGATTAAAAATATTCATTTAACGAACAAAAGTCTTTCATGTATTTTTAAAACTTTAGTCTAGATGAATTAAGATTAGAGCAAATCGTTGTTAGCAACTGAAGCGAATGTTTTATATGACAAAAAAAAAACAACAATAATATAGCTTGATGTTCAAATTATATAAAACCAGCACTTATTTTAGAAATGTATTAGCATAGAAAAAATTAAAGAGGATTTGAATGATCACTCAAGTATCTTACTATTGTTAGAAAACACGACAAACATTTCGCATTTACCACAACAAATATTTATCCAATACCGGTAAAAAGCATAGGTTACCGAGAATGGGATCTGAATTGTCATTTGATACAAACCTTTATGAAACGATATCAGGAAAATGTAATTAACCCTGCTTTAAAATACCCGTTAAACCGACATGGCATTCTAAAGTTGACATTAACAGATATTTTCGAAGAACAAGCAAAGTCGTACTAAGAATCCTGACGTGGGGTCTTTACCGCGGCTTGAATTGTCCCCAACCCGACTCTACTGCGTCCATGGCGTTTGCATTGTGTTTATAGATCGCCCTAGAAGTGCAATCAAGTAGCAAGTCCGATGTGATGGGTGTATAACTATTAACCAGGACACGTTTCATAAATTTTTATCAAATGACAACGAATGCCAGATTCTTTTATCACATAGCTAAATTGAACGTAAAAAAATCTTTTTAAGTGACATTGTGACAATCCAAGTGTATATCGTGGGTACATAGGTGAAATTCACAATTAGTTCAATTACATTTTACCATTGATAATTCCTTTCAATCATCAAGAATCGCATGAACGGTAAATAACTCACGTGGCTCAATTTAATTCTGTAAATAATAATTGGGATCGACCTGGTAGAGCGCGGCAGTTTTTTTTTTATCTTTTTTAGACAAAATTTTATTTTATCTTTATTATTTTTTCCAATATCAACTGTTTGAACAATTAATCTTTTGAATTATATTGTCAATTCAGCTCAAGATGAAATAATAAGCATAATGTCACTCTAATTAACATACGCCTTTCATGCGCGTTTTATAACGGATGTGTAATATAAGGCAATACTAATGATTATATTAAATATTGAACGTGGTCATCGATTGGCTGCAAAAAGTGCGAGGAAAACATAAGATCCAATGGTACATCAGGTGATTGGATTAAAATGTAATGTTTAGTATAAAAATGATTTAAGAAAGTTGAACTAGATTTTTTTTAAGTTTTATGAGTCTCTAGAATATTTTTCACTTGAGAAGTTTCATTTTTATAAATATATGACTTGTCGGTCCTGTGATCACAAAACAAAAGAGGTGGTGCTGGTGATGGGGGCTAGGGGTAATCATCTTTGGGGACATCTATGCGGAAAAAAAATAATCCGTCAACATTTTATAATAAGAAGATTATTTTAATGTGTCAGGCATGTAATTGTCCTGCAGAACCACATATTTAGCATGAATACTCAATTTTAATGTATGTTTAAAATATAATAAAATTAATACAGTCGTCTGACCACAAGGAAGAAAGTACAATAAAATATAACTTCCGCTTTGGCTGTAACTTGCTCACGAGTTGTCAATTCTGTCAATCCACACGTTTAATACGTTTTTAAGGTGCAAATGAAGTGACAAAGCGATTTAACATTATGAAATCAAAATCGAAAGTTGATTTGAAACTGGAATATTTAAGTTTAAACAATGTTTGTCACTTACTGTGATACATTTTAACAAATCCGATGTTATAATAAATTATAATCGTATCAAAGTTGTATAAATGTTATATTATCATTATTATATAAGAATATTTACCATATTTGTTTTGGTTTTGTCCCAATCCAAACCAGGAAGTAGTCTAGATAGAATATCGACCGACACCGTCAACATATGTAGACCGTGGTATAATGAATGAAATATGTGTATGATAAGAGGTGAGCGAGTATAATTATGAAATAAAAAATAAGCTGAATATTCATGTATTGTACAATTTGTTCACCCATCGCATTAAGGATACGAATTATTCATGTTAATTATATTGGAGTAGCTCATTGAGGTTTATTTATTTATTCTTTTTCTCATTTTTTATTGTAAAGGTTATTAAGTTTGTGCTGTAAAATTTATCCTATGAGTCCGATTCATAGCCGAATACATTTACTTTTGAATAAGTGTAGGGTACTGGTCTGAACATATTTTCAATTATAAATATTGACATGAAAGCAACATGCCTCCAGATTCATACTTATAATCATGAATATTTTGAATTTGCATCTAAGAGTAAACAATTGTGAAGGGAACAAAGAAAGTGATTTACAGTGACTGACACATATCAAATGACACATGAAAGGCACGTAAAAAAACAATATGGTCAAAACATGTAAAACGGTCCTTGCTGCGTTAATCACGCACTAGATATATAGTAATACTGCAAGATTAGTCATTTATCGCACATGCCATGTAATTGTTTTAATATGCTACAATTATGATGTGTCTTTTTAATCAATATATTATAAACCATTGTTTTTTTCTTCTTTGATATATGATTTTTTTCAGCTCGTCTAAATAGAATGTGTATGTGTATATTTCTGAATTATACAGATAAACGTTAAATAACTTATAATTACAAATTTACAATACACATACTTCTAATTTATGATTCGTTTATAGTAGTAATCAGTAATCAAACTACCTGTACATTATGTTTATGGAAGTCATTGACTTCTAATCATCGAGTTATTCGGACAACTTTTGATTTATACTATATCTTACTTAATATCTGATTATGCCATTATCAAATATTTGAACATGTTAAGTAAAGGTTTACCATTGTTACATGCTCGGATTTTAACGTCAGTTTCGGTATTGCTGTATTCAACAAACGAACATGTTTTATTTTTAAATGGATACAAGTGTGAAGCTGTTTGAACAGAATATATATCAAATAATTATACATAATACATATTTTTCTATGTAAGTGGCGCATTATTTTCAAAATTAAGAAGGAACCTATATGTTTTTAAAGCACCGTGTTCAAAAATAGCGTCTTGCTTGTAAACAATGTTGTGATATGTGCAGTTTGAATGAATCATAAATCATTAATTTTGAAAAATTAAAATCTATTTTACTGATTATTTTTATAGTTTTGACGTTAATTTGAAATAATATTGACTACAGAAAAAAGTGTTACTAACTTATCTAGTTTATAACTTTTAAAGAATGATTGGGAAGCGTTTTAATCAATATTGACTTCTGAATTATGTGTTAATATTTTAGTGTAACAATTTAGAATTAATTCAAAAGTGTTTAAAATGGAAGAAAACAATAACAGCTCGGATAATAATGATTATTATGAATATGATTTCATTCGAATGACAACAACGTTTCGAGTGATATCAGCATTTTTAATTTCAATTTTAATCTTATTTTGCCTATTATCGGCAAACGCAACAACAATAATCGCTTACATCACTGACAAAAAACTTCATACTGTTTATGACTTCTTTATTTTTAATTAAGCTACTACAGACCTTTCAATAGGATGCATAAGTATGCCATTTTATGCAGTCTATACGCTTTCAAGAATTTTGTCTGGGAATTGGGTGATACGTTTTTGTAAAGTATGGAATGTTATAGATTTTTACATTATGTCTTGAATCAATCTTGCTAATACTATTGTTAAGTTTCGACAGACTTTGCCTTGTTAAATATGGACCCTTCTATTCTTCAAAAATGACACAGCAGAAAGCCAAACTCTTGGTTATTATGTCCTGGATAATTTCATTTCTGTTATACGGGCCAGCAATTATTAGCTGGAATTATTGGTCGGGTTATACGACAGTGGAACCTTTGGACTGTGACGTTGAATTTGCATATAATTTTGTGTTTACTACAACAGCTGCAATTATTGAGTTTGTTATACCAGTTGTGGGATTAGCAATCATGAATGTTATGATATATCAGCACATTAAAAGCAGAATTGGCAGTCCAAACAGTGGCAATCCGAAACCTATTATAAGAACTTCATCAATAATAAAGGAAATAACAGAGATGCAAGAAATAATGCATGTAAAAGCTGACAATATAAGCGTTCGAGAGGAAGATGGTATTGACGGTGGAACGTTGGACGTAGGAAAATTTGGAATGCCGAATGTACCAAAGATTTTGTATTCTTCAGGACGCTTACCGAATATGCCAAAGATAGTGCTGAATAGTTCAGAACATATCACTGAAGAAGATCATGATGAAAAGGGAATTAGACATGATTCAGGAAAAATAGAAAATGTAACAAAAGTCATTAAAGAGAATTGCATGTCGACTACTCATAAAAATGTACATAACAGAATATCATTTTCCGCGATTCCTAAACGTTCAGCCCGATTCAGTTTCTTCGGAACCTTAGAAAACAGTTTCAGAAGAAAGTCTAAAAACAAGAACGAACATTCGCGATTTAAGCGGGATGCAAAAGCAGCACGATTTTTGGCGATCCTGGTCCTAGTTTTCCTTGCATGTTGGGCTCCATACACTATAACAACGATAGTAATTTCATTCTGTGGCGATGAATGTGTTAACACAAGCTTCTATGAAAGTATGAATTGGTTGCTATGGTCAAAGTCGGCAATCAATCCGTTTTTGTATGCAATAAACAGTTCTAGATATAGATTCCACTTCAAGAAGTACATTTTCTGTTGCAAGAACCAAGTCTACCCGCATAACACTGAAACGACATGTCAGACAGCTGGCTAGATGTGGAACTTTAAGTATAATACAGTAACTACTAGACTGTGGATGTCGCAAAGTACATTTAAACTACCTTATATTTTGCAAACAAATAGATTTCATGAAATTCATTTATTTTAATATGCTATATTTGAATAGTTGAATACAAGCTCATGGCTAAGGATGGATATGCTCTAATCTAATTCATTGAATAAATATTTAACTTACAGAATTCTTTTGTTATGCATCATTACCTACAAAATTTATAGAACTGATGTAATCCAGCCCTGGCTGCCACTTATCTAATATAGACTACTATAGAAAAATAAATGTAAGTTTTCCTTATGAAACTAAAATACAAAAAGCTAAAATATTTGGTTTGTGAAATTGCGGTTAAAATGCAAATTTGTGAATGAAAAGGTTAATTTTGTTCAAACAGTAAAGCATAAAATAAAGCACCTTCGGGGGGGGGGGGGGGCTTAAAATTACGTAACTGCAGACATGTACAAGACACTAATTAAATATGATGCAATGGCATGTCGTTTAATTTTCGTTATAATAGCCAAAGTTTAGTGCTTTCAGCGCTTTGATCTACATGGTAATGTTTACGGTCATATCATTTTTTTTTTTGACTATCAAAAATTCAATGACAATTTTTCATGGAACTTAAAACGTTTCTGTATGCAAATTGGCCGGTTAATTTGCGTTAAATATCTGAAATTTGGAGATTGGTACGTGTACTTGCGATACCATAGCAGTTTTTGAAAATTTCGGAATGCAGTCTCGGTTTCAGCCGTTTTTTGTAAGCCATTGAAGTAATAATGTATATAAGACTTTCAAAAACTGTTAGTATTCAGAGCGGGCGCTATGACGCAGTGGTAACACTGTCTGTCTACCAATCAAGGGGTCGTGAGTTCGATCCCACCGCTACTGCAGCTAAAAAAAAGAAAGGAAAATTTTGGAAAAACCTTTTTCCGCGGAGGAAACCCCTGGGAAAAAAAAAAAGAAACTGGGAACACAAATAGGAAATAAGATAAAAACTAGCAGATTTACAGACTAAACGGACCAACAAAAACAATTCAAAAGACATAATGAAAAAAGGAAAAGCGGCATGCAAAAGACATAACAAAGTAACGTCACTCGGCAAATGAAAACAAATACTAAAAGGAGTATTCTACAATACATTGAATGAAACAGACGGCAACGGAACAGACAAAATAGACCTAATGGAACAAGCATCAACGATACAGACCAGCGAAGTCTTAAACGCATCAGGAAACAATGACTGCTAATAGAAGAACTAACGGAATATGCAACAACGGAATGTGCTAACATGACTTATTGGAACAACTAGAACAGAAAACAAAACGGTGCAGATAATAACAACTTACAGGACAGAACAACATTGGAAACGACAATAAGTGCGCTATCGGAAAGGTCGGGAGTTCGATACCTCGCAACACTATAAGAGCATGACTATATACGAATGACTAAGACGGATAACGGAACAGGTAGCAAAAGACCTAAAGACATACTAAACGGAACGTCACGGGGAAAATGACAGCAACGACTTAACGGAGCATTCAAGTGATCAGACAACGAGAAACTTAGACAAAGAAAATACCAAGACACGAAACCAAAAAAAAAAAAAGAAAGAAACTTAATCGCAGAAGACAATAAAAACAAACAAGAAAGTAGAACAGACAACGGGGATCGAAAACATAAAAAGCTTATACAGTACAGTTAAGGACAAACAACAACGGGACAGACAACAAGAACAACAGAAGATATGTTAACAAATACTGACAACAAGTACTTCACGGCCAATAAAAAAACACAGTTAACATTAAACAGAACAAAGACACATGCAAAAACGGCCAACCACAAACCAATAAAAAGGGACTCAACAAAATGTTCAAATAACTAGAAATTTAACTTAGATGTAGTTTATCGATAAGTTACGATACGCCCGCCGTCATATAGACTATATATAATAATATAAATTGAATAATGAATATAACAGCTATAAAATACGCATAATCAAAAGAATTTAACGATGTGTATTTTTGCCTTTTATTACCACAAACAGCACAAATATATTTAATTACTTTTCCCCATATATCTAATACGTTCCTGGATCCTGGACAAATGTTAACATAAAATGAAATAATATATTCTTCTATTTTCTGCTGTTTTCCAACATATACATGTTATGTTTGTTGTTTGTTTCATTCTACGCCTTTTCCCAACAGTATTTCAGTCGTATAGGCGGGTAGTTTCCTTACCATCGTTCCACCAGTACTAGACTACCTTCCTCCGTGCTTAACTACCAAAGCATCTCCCGGGGATCGAATCCATGCCAGAGAGTTAACTAGATTAGAAGTCATCGACTCTAACCCCTCGACCACGGAGGCGGTTACATGTTATGTATTCACCTGTCTCTATTGGAAACATTTCCTAAAATTTTAGTTTACAACATTTGTAGGTATTGGATTTTAATCGTCACACATAATATATTAGATTAGCAAAATATACAAACAGTTTGCATCTGTCATAAAAACATAAACTTATATTTGTCACTATTATAAAGCATGTATTGAATATTTACTTCTACACAATAGATTGTCATTTTGCACAAGACGTACATTATGAAACCAGAAAAACTGTTTCCCGGCGTGCTTTGGTAAAAATAGTGCAGGTAACATGTCGGTACTGATTCCTGGCGTAGTCAAAATATAATAGAACAGGGAACCAAAATTACCTCCGATGAAGAAGAGGCAATCTTATTACCCATAATTTTGCTGTACTTCCGCAACAAACTTCAAATCCATCACTTCAAGAAACTTGCGTTACCATAATGCTCGCTTTGCGATTAGGCCCTTATACTTAAGGCATGCTCTTTCAGCTTGCTATAAATTATATTGCAAAAAGAAATTACCACATCGTTCTTTATTTCAGGCTGCTTTTATAAAGTTGCATTAAACAGCCTCCGGAATAAGTTTGCAAATTTTTATTTATACCGGCAGAATGACGTCATCCCATAGACATGCTAACTTTATATAAATCACCGATAAAATTCTGCAATATATATATATACAGTCTTAGATTTCATTATTAGTAACACATAAATTCAAAACTACAATGTTCAAAATAGTTAACAAATTCTCGCCTTCCAATATAATAAATACTATTCAGTTCTTTGTCTAGCGGATATTCATTTTGCTCATGATATAAGCGTCGCACAATGATCCCTAGTACTGATTGGTCAAATCGATGACATCTCCCGTCGCTTAGATCAAGGAAATCACATTTCAGTTTATCCTCCCCAACCGGTGCAATACATGCTTCATTCAAAGCGCATGACGCCCATGCATTCACAACAACTTTGGTAACATGGTCATAATAAAACAAAACTGTTGTTGCCCAAACTTCTCCGAATGGTCTGTATTTACATACATCTTCTGCTAAATAATTAAAAGTTCGAATGTCCGTTTGTTTCGCTATGCTGACTTTTTTGGGATTTTTTCTTTCCACAAAGAACAACATACTGTTTTTCCTTGCATAGTTTATTGCATTGTCTAAATTAACCCTTAGCAATTTCACTGAAATATCAATCCACCAAACAAAACCAAACTCCAGAAGGGCCATCTAAAAAGATAACAAGAAAGTATGTTGATTTATAGTTGAACTATTCACATATAAGCATGTCAAGTACCGGTATCTTGTTTAGAATCGAACAATTCTAAAGTTTATTCGTCATTTGATAGAAGCAATTTTCACACAAAAAATAATACTACAGTATCCATTTTGGTTTGGGAAACTTTGTAATTGAGAAAGAGGTAGAACTGCGGCACGGATGTTAAAAGGTGCAATTTCAGTTTATCTTTACTAATAAAACAAGACAGAGATATCTAAGAGGTTCACTTTTGAGCGTTCTTTTTTTCCATTCATATGCTTAGCGCTTTATTTCAAATTAAACTTATAAGCAATTTCTTTCTCTGGCATACTGTTTAAAACTTCATTTACATTTTCAGTTGTTTAGCGCTTTATTTCAAAAATAGGTTTAGCACAGTCAAAATAGTTTACTTTTATGCTATATACTAAATTGAATATGCAATAAAATTGCGCACAACTTCAAAATAAAATACCTGATTGCCATAAAACTAAAACAATGTTTAGCTTTTTTCTATATTTACCTTTTCTCACCAGTGGCAAAAGTAGCATCAATATGCATTTTAAAAAAACACAGACCAGCTCGAATTCCCTTGCACTCACATTTATTTCTGTACTGCTTGCTGCCAAGTCAAAGCAGTAGAATATTGAGACGCCCCCCTCCCTCACCGCTCTGTTCTTATAGGCATAGTTTAAAATTTTGATAAATGCAACGTTATAGTTTAAATGACGTGGGTTTAGTTTTTCACTGGCATTCTTACGGTAGATTTCTTACCTGAATTATTATAGGTTTAAATGCATATGTTTTCAGTTTGCGAACATGTGGCGGAAATTCTTCAAATGGAAACCGTCTAATTTCACACTGACACTTTTTACGTAGCTGAAAACAAAATAATGTAATGCATATAGAAGAACAAAAAAAAATCGAATAAACTTGTACAACCTGAAGAGAGCATTTGTTCAGAATTTTCTTCATTGTGCGTTTAAAGCTACATTTCTCCAGATGAGTCAAAATAGTTCAAGGAAATCAGTGTGAATAACCGTAGAATATAGAGGCTATTTGTTTATTGCCAAAAATCCAGCCTATGAAACTTGACAATGCATACTTCGGTTCTACAAACAGATTAGTAAAAATCTAATTTGTCGATCGAAGTTACATACTGCACTGGTATTAAGAATTTTGATTATCCGATTTGATACAAATGAAAGCTGTTAACATGCAACTTAGAAAATTCCAAACCTTGCATTTAAATGTTATAATTTCAAATTCTGCGACATGCTAGAAATAATTAGACTATAGAACGAAGTATCAATACGACAAACGTTTAACTGCTAAGGTGATAACATGTAGCGTAGAAAGCTAACCCTGCAAAAGCATCAATTTGACACCATCCGGTTTACAACATGCCCCCACTTACTCTAATAATTATGCGAGTTTTTCTAACAGACGTTGTAATTAAATACATATTACTACGGATTTCCGCAAACTTTCTCTCACCCCATATTGCCTAGTCACGGAAATAAGTAGCGGAATAAAATTCAGAGCGACGCCAATTTTCACTTAAATCAGAATATCAAGTAGAGAAGATGGGTGTAAGCTACTGTACGGCGATACAAAAATATTTTCAAAAATTATATAGAAAACTGTTACATTACTCTTGACTTTGAAACATCCTCTGATTTTGTTAAAACGTATTCTAGTACAGGATATTCAAGTAATGCAAAAATTAGTTAAGATATAATGTAAAAATGTAACAACGTATATACTGATAATGAGCATAATAATATGCAAAAACTAAAAGTTGGTCAAATAACATAAGGAAATGTTTCCCATATATAATGACACACACCCATATTTTTTGATATCAATGATAGTGTTTTGTGAGCCACGGCAATACTCTTAGGCATGTCTTTTTTTTACATTCAGCAAATAGTACTAGAATTCGATACATGGAAGGTACTTTTGGCACAACACGAATAAAGAGAACTGAACAATAAGCCTGTGCCTTCTTTCTTTAAAGGACTATGTTGGGTTGAAGAAAAACTCATATTTTTGACCAAGTCTATAACCACGAAACAATGCAAAGTTTACTATCGATAATTCCGTTGTATAACCAAAACTTGTGAATTTGTCCCATTTTAATGTTGAAATAAATATTCAGTGTATCCTGGCAACTCTGTTTACCTCCATTGGGAGATATTTTGAGTCATAGGATGTGATTTAGCCTTTTATTGTTAAATATATGTAAGTCTTTTTATGCATTGTGCTGAATCAATAGCACCTCTAAAGTATGTGTATACATGCTGTCATTAGCTGTTACCTAGATTTGCTGTCTAAATTTGTTGTCTATATGATTAAAAACAGAGAACTACTTTTATGTACATGAAATACTACACAGAATATTTATTAAGTTTTGTTAGTGATGGCTTTCTAAGAGATAAAATAAACAAGGTATACATAAATTGATAATCAACATAAATACATTTGAACCCATTTAAATTTTACTTATTGAAAAACAAAATAGGAAAAATGGGAAAATATATGGTAAAAATAAAAAGTTATGTACGAAAGGGTACATACAACTTTGGTTATAATTTTACTATTGTTAAAAGTTTTTTTTTCTTGTCAAGTCATACGCTAGAATTAAGGTTACTAATATAATAGTACTACTAAAAGACAACAGCCAGAATTTGGTCTGTATTAGTAATTAGTCGTATCAAAATCTCTATCAGATGTTGACTTGAAAATTTGAAAGTGGTAAGGTAGCAGCTTAACTGTAAATGTTACTCATTCCTATGCAAATTGGAATACCATCAGTAAAATTTATTTGTCGTTGAATATAGTCTTTTCAATAGTTTTCACTTCCTTGAAAAATATTTAACCTCAGACAGTATGTAACCTGGTGTTTTTTGGGGGGTTTTTAAGTTTCTTTTTCCAGGAAATGTGGTGTCTACAACGTTTTAAAACTTATATGCCTATATTCCTTTAAAGTCCCCTGATGTTGATTGTAGGCAATCATGCAAGTGAATTATGTTTAGCAACTAAACACCTAAAAGGTATGATAAACGGAAACTACGCCGCTTCTTGTCGCTGACGGTAAATACCGAAACTGAGCGGAAAATACGTTTATTTACGATGATTTAGTGGGCGGGAAAATGGGCGGAGCTTATTTTATCTCCTATTGAAAAACGCGTAAAGCTGGATTATGCTGATCTGAATCATGATGGTTCGACAATGTAAAGCTAAGAATGTAACTTCTGTTTTGAGTATTCGAACACTTGGTTTTGCTACTATCAGTTAATGTTTTGTCGTTTAACAAATTGTATTTTGTTGAAATGCATGTTTACAATGTTAAGTCGGCAAACTCAATCCAAGTATGCAACATTGGAGTTTACATACAAAGAAATACAATTGTATTTTTTCCATTAACAAACTGTTCAACTCAGATCAACAAGGCTGGATTTTTGGCAACGAATAGCCTCCATAGTAGAAAGGATTTGATGATCAATCACACAGACGCTGACCTGCGACGCCCGGGAATCGAACCCGGGTCGCCCGATTCACAGTTCAGCGTTCTTCATTGAGCTTTTGAGCTTACCTGATAGTTTAAGGGCTATTTTGGTATTATTTGTCTTCTTTCATAGTAATTTACTGGTTGTAACGTGTAAATTACTTCCTTTGTTCACTTCACAACGTTTTACTTTTAAATAATTTTCAGAGTTTCATGAAAATTAACATGAATCTGAAGGAATGCTGTCTAAATGAATTTTAGTATATAAAGTTGTAATATGTAATAGCATAAAAAGGAACTTTTTGACGTCTGAATGTTCTAGACAATTTGCTACGAACAAACTTAATACAACAGGCATCAATTGAAATATAAAATGTCTCAAAAAGGTAGCACATTCCTATCGCTATGCTAAGTAATATAATTGCGAAATCCATGTTTTGGAATATTTGTTTTATTTTTACCAAGGGTGTCGTTTATATCTCGATAAATGAATACAAGTTACTACTTTACCTTTATAACTAACTATTTACGGATCAAAGGTAAATACGTATTACACAAATAGGTATAGTTCTCAAGAAGATAAATCTTTTGCAAAATGATACTTTGAAAAATAATAAATACGAGAGGACCGGGTCTGCGAAGAGGGTCCGAGCTTTGGCTTGCCTGGCTATGGACTACACGTGTATATTAAAAAGGATAAAAAAATTAAAAAGTATATAGATTTCTTTACCTATCAGTGAAATTTGCAGAGTCATATCTAGTTTGGCACCGCCATTTCAATGTAACTCAATGATAATAGGTGGGGTATTCCGAAAACGGAACAGTTGCAACTTTTCGGCTTAATAATAACCGTCGAGGTGGTCCGAGTGAAAACGGAAGCGGTGCATAAAATATAGAATGTCGTTTTGATGCGAGAAAATTAACCACTCAGGCCTACGGCCTTCGTGGTCAATTCCTACGCATCAAAACTCCAAACCGGTGTTAAATAGCCGATATACACCTCTCAGGCCGATGTTATTTCTTAAATGACACTAGCTTAAGTGTCACTTTACACAGGTTAAACCGTAGATCACTTACCACTCTTAATTGACGTTTTGATAATCCTAAATCATACACAATAAGACGACTTTTTCCCTTATTCTTTTCAGCATTTAATATGGAGTGTAAGGAAAAAAACATCCCCTGGCTAAACGGGTAGTAGCGGAAATCCATCGCTGTAATAAACACCGGAAATGACGCCATTTTGACTGGTTGAGTTATATTCCCGCCAATTTTTGAAAGATAACGGTCAGCATCACCTTTGGGGTAATTTTTGACAACTTGCAAATTTTCATCAAAGCTTGGTGCAAAGGTTTTGTCACAGGTCTTTGAAAGCCCTTCAATAAATAAAGTACAATATTTTTTTATTAATTAAGCACAGCCCTCCGTGGCAAAAAATGAAAAAGAGTCAAACCCTTTAAAGCAATGAATGAGCAAAACTGACTTGTTAAACTTAACAGCTTTCTTTTCCTCCAATTGAAAAATTCATGTTCGGACATTCATAAGTATGATTTAGCAGAACAGAATAGCAAACCACGAAAATCCTCCTTATTTAACAAACAGAGTAAAAATGATAATCGAAATGCAATTGTGCCGTATTGGATTTTCTTATGTTACTAAAATGCAAGTGTGCCATGCTTTTTTGCAAATCTCACTACTAAGTTTAAAACAAATTGTTTCCTTAACATGTTACAATTTCTTTTTCAAATGCAGAATATTTATATTGAAAATATCAAACATGAAATGCACCACCACCAACAACAATAATAATAATAATAATAAACAGAAACAATGTATATTTACACTTTGACTGGTCATTTAAATCATATTTTCCAACCGGATGCACGTTCATCGTTACAGAATGGTCTGAAAGAGAAGTATAACAACACACACTTATTAAGTATGTGCTTGAACTGGCATCATTTTTGTGAAATTGTACATTTTGTTCAAACGAACAGAACAAAAAAAGTCATTTGAAATTGAATGAAAACAACATTCAAATTTATTTGCTTTTGCAAGCTCTTGTTTGTCTTCTAAAGTAGGTGTGATCATACTTTTAGAAACCATGCATTAGATTTAAATAAACAATACATTACTTTTTTATTTTCAGAAAGCTTAAATTGCGTGCAAGGAAAAACGTTTAAAAGTGAGTCTTGTTTAATGATGTTTTTGACTCACTATATACAAATATATGCATATGTAAAATTGTATCAAAACATTCATAATTGCACTATTAAACCGAAAAGCTATAAACGTATTCGTTGCAACAAACTCGAATAATTATACTTATAACATCCTATACGCTACCGTAGAATATGTTTCCAAGAAAAAGTCCAAAAACTGCCAAAACTAGAACAAATAGTACTGTGATTTGTAATGAGTCACCTGAAAAAAAAGATAGAAAACAACAACAACAAAAAGACAAAAAATGTGTTTATAAAGTTTGCGTACATTTAGTCCGTTCGCATGTTTCGTCTGTCACAGAACAGAAATTTATCTGTACGTGAACACGAATACCTCCTTGAATAAGTGAATACTTTGAAACACAATCTCCGTACAGTATAGCATTTAATTCGCAAATAACAAACTTGCCTGTACTAACATGTTTATACATGCACATCTTTGAGTTTATAAAAGTAATTACAAATTTTAGATTTTTTTATCAAATGAGTTACAAATATGATGTATACATTTAAGCACGAAGAACAACATCTATCTAACACACGTCCTAGTCTTAGGCACTTTATCGCGAAGCAAAATGGGCTTTCCTCAGCATAAAGATTTAGATCAATAAATTAAATCAATAAACTATATAAAGTTAAAGGATACCTCGCATTTTCTTCGGACAATGTTTTATTTTATTCCATTTCATATTTATCTTGACATTTCTGAAATCCTATTTACATTTCATGTTGTGTTAAACTTTTATTAGGAATAAACATTCAAAGGCCCTTTTAAAAACCCTTTATGGCAATAAAACCCTAAGTTTTTAAAAAAACCGGAAAGGGCAAAAACCCAAAAAGGGGTTAAAGACTGATGTATGGTTAGGGAAAAATGGTTTTAAAAAAAAATGACTAAATTAAAAACCCTTAAAAATTAATGAGTCTAATTAAACTCAATTGTGAACATCTTGAGCGACATATTTAAACATTTTCGGCTCTTGAAGCATATTTATGATCATTAAAATTAATAGAGAAATTAGCCTTTTGCGTATAGCGAGAGTTATATCCTCTTTATTCCTTACTAAATATATAACGAAACCAAAAACCGGTCACGTGAAAGGTTTTAAGATACTATTTTATCCAATGAGCTTGGTGGTCAGGTGAAAAGGACTGTCCTGCTTCCTTTTCAGCTACCGTAAGCTACATTTATAGAGGTATGTTACAGTATTCTAGATCTAGATATAATTCGTATCTCACTCTCACTTTTGGCGAGTAAGAAACTAAAAATAAATAAATGCTCATTATTTTGACTCTTGAACTTCAAATTTCAGACTTATAAGTATGGTTTATTCTCACAGTATTTGGTAGTTCAAGCCATGATGCCATGTTGCATGCATATTATTCAATCGGCAAAAGCAAAATGATTAAAAGATAAAATCAGAAAGTGTTGACTGTTGCAATTGTTTTTTCCGATCTTTTGAAAGTTTTCCCCGCCAAACGAAAAATGTTACTTTTTTATAATTTTCTATGTGTCCTGTTTGTAAAATGCAAAAAGAAAAAACTAGAATATTTAACTCTGTTACGGGGCAAAAATGCAAAAGACCTCAATCACACGAAAAGAAACACGATGCTTGCAATTGGACGCCGTGCATTTGTTGTTTTAGTGGACCAAGCCTATCCTTAACCCATTACCCCATGAGCATTTTGTGAAAAATGGCTGTTTTCATTAAAAAGTCTCCCGTTACAAGTTCAAGTTGCTATAAAACTATAAAAACTGCTTCAATACTAATCCAACTTGGCACAAATGTTGACTGGACCATTGCCTTTGTAACAACATGCTCAGTCTGAACTTTCCTGTTACCATGGCAACTAGGGGACATCTCAAAATTGCCAAAAAATCACTATTTTGCGTTGATTTTTTCCATCAAAATTGATTTCAAAGTGCTGCCACTTCTCAATGGATTGAGATAGAGTCAAAGGCTTTTCAGCATTGGTTACACGTTACTTTATGATCGACCTGGGGTCATTTTTAGCCTCCCAAAAGTCCAAAATTTTCTTGGCGATGAGGGGGACTCCGCTCCCTTTCAAACCCCCAAACAGAAGGGAACACATCCCCCTTCTGGCAACCCCCTGATGTATGTTTTGGATGGGGGCCGCGCTGAAAAAGTGGTCAATTTTTTAACAACATTTCTCAAACAAAAATAAATGTTTGAGGGCCTAAATAAGGCATTTTTTCACCATTTGAGAAAGCAAGTAAGTTTGTCCCCTTTAAAAGGACATTTTTTATTGCAAGGAAGGACATACTCGCATATCATTTTAAATGGAAATCTAAAAAAATATATTAAAAAAAAAACACACACACAAAAAAATCCCCCCAAAAAAACAACAACAAAACAAAAAAAACAACAACGTTGTGACAAAAATAAATGACTTTTTTCATGTAAAGAATAATTTAACAATCTTTAACAGTCATTAAAACTGTTTCGATTGTTTACAATTTTCAGAACTTCAATACATTTAGATTATGTCTATTCAAACTATTATTTACATATGAAAATCTCGAGGGTAAATAAATTGTCAAGTTTTATATCGAGTTGAAGTATTAACGACATAGTACTATCCACTGACATGTACACATAAGCGTTTAATTACTGTCATAATGTTTAATATGATTACTCATAAACCTTTAAGTGTATAAAGCTATATAAAACTGCTGTCTTACAAAGTTTTGTTTAAGAAAATGTTAACATATCTGTATATAAGAAATAATTTTGTTTGAATATTTTCTTACGAGAGGGTGGCATTTGCACGACACCATTGTAAAATTGTTACACAGGTATTAGCATTTTGAAAAATGATAGGAATTCCGTACGGTCAGGTAGTTTTGAAATAGACTTTTCCCTGAACAACAGAGCTAATGTTTCTTCTTTTTAAGAGAAATATTCTGACACAATGGTGTCGAGGTACTTACATGAATACAGTTGTTTTTAACTCTATATATATGTAACCCGAAAAAAAAATTGATGTGCCTTATAGGCGCACCCTGTTAGAAAGATCTTTTGCCGTCCATTTTATTATCATATGGAAAAAAGTCTCCATTCTAAATGGTTTACAGCAGCCGGTGTACGGGTAGAAACGGTGAAATCGTTTTAATTGTGTAGGTCACCGCCCAGGAACGGTTACGACGAAAACAAACCCTTCCTATTATAGTAGTGTGGTGCAAAATTTTGTTCTATTTACAATGAACGTGGTGACAATTGACTAGCAAATTAGGGAACCAAGTTATTTTACGCTACATATTAGCACATTGCTGCTCATTTAACAGAGTTAAGACAATGCAAATGCGAAAACATGATATTGCCTCATTGCAGATTTTATATAAATTCAACAGAGTCACTATTTCAATGGCAAATGTGTTATTGCTAGATTGCACATTGCTTCTCACTATTTAGTATTTGTGTGAATGGCTATTTTGTTTAATTTCTTAGCGTAGGCAATACCGAAATATCCGTTCTGTGTTTTTATACTATTGTGTCCGAGGTCATTATCCGAAGATTGACGGAAAGGCCCGAAAAATTTTGATTGAGTTAAAATGTTATCACGTGCCCTTCAGATAAGCCGGTATCCGGGATATTTAAAGATACATAGTAAATTCTTGCATTATCTGTACTTAATACCCTCCTCTAAATTTCCAGGGTATCTTAAAGTAACAGGTAAGTAATCTAAAAAAATATTACTTTACAAAGTCACGTGGGTTGACTTCCTAAGTAGAAGTGTTAAAATTTAATTGCAATACATTTTGCTGTAAACTATTGAAGTAATAATGTATAAAGGACTTTCAAAAACAGTTGTTATTCAGAGCGGGCGCTATGGTGCATTGGTAACACTGTCTGCCTACCAATCAAGGGGTCGTGAGCTCGATCCCCCGCTACTTCACTAAAATAATGAAATGACTACAAGACTGACAGAAAATCAGAATATAGAGACTAAATGTATAGGACATGCAAACAGAGACTAAGCGGCAGTCTAAACTGACCAGGACCTAATGCAAAAGGGAAATGAGACCTAACGGAACAGACAGAAAAAGACGACAGAGAAA